TCGTTCGTTTATCCGTTCGTGTTCGTTTATTTGTTCGGCTAACTTAAACGAACGAACATGAACAAGCTCCGTTTGTGTTCGTTCGGTTCGTTTACAGCCCTAGTTATAACATTGGACTTCGCATTTACTTAATGTATTTCATAAAAGTAACTAAAGTACAGCATGATACAATTCAATTAATTCTTGCCAAAATGAAGTAAAAATTCATTAAATTAAACTACAAATGTCAAATACATTACTAAGTGTTTAACACGTTATAAAAAAACATCATTTTTCAAAAATAAACATTACAATAAACGATATTATCTATACATTCAAATTGTCAAATACTAAGTGTTTAACACATAAAAAGTTAGAAACATTTGGTGGATTACTAGGTGGTTAATGAATTCTCACATACAAGTCGTGGATTTCAAGTTGTGTTTGTCTTGTTGCATTTCTACTTGGCCTTTGAACTTGTGCCTGCAACACCCACACCTAGAAAAATGGTTAGTCAAACGTATATAATTAGTAAATGTTGTCTATTTTTAACCACAATAGGAGCAAATTTATTTATAGGGAAACATCCAGATGGTGAAAAAATACAATGTTCATTGACAAATAAACTCACAATCATATTTATACAGTTAAATACAGCAATGTACTTTTTTTATTACAACATTATACTTTCATCTCTTCACCTTCCAACAATGTTTTATGTAAAATTTATCTTGTTGGATAGATTTCCAAAGTATAATGCTAGTAATGGATAAAATAAAAATAGGATGCCAGGAAGGAAACAAACCAGATATCAAAAAACACAGACCATAGATAATAAATTCACACCAAAACTTAGAAATCAGAAACAGTGTTGTCAATGTATGCACAAAAATCAGAAAGAAGCTTGGTTATCACAGAACTCATCAACAACTATGTGAATAACAACATGCACCTTTAAATCTGTTACTCATTTCGCATAGTTACTCCTTTCACATACATTAATACATACACACATATGTACATACACATACACATTCAAACAAGTGTATGTGTATGTATGTATATGTACATATGTGAATGTGATTGTAATTTTAAAGTGTGAAAGGAGTAATGGATCAAAATGAGTACGTCACTATAAACATCTAGGTATCAGGTATAAGTTGGGCAAACTATATATAATCATGTATAATAGAGATGCAAAAAAATGAAGCGAAAAAAACGACGTTCGATGCCTGAAATAAAAAAAATCCGTAGGTAATCCGTCGGAAATTATCGACGGAATAGCGACGGATGGCAGGTTCCGAACGTCGCTGTTTTTGCTTAGTTTTTTTCGGGCACCGAACGTCATTTTTTTCTTTATCTTCGACATTTCGGGCACCGAACGTCGTTTTTTTCACACCTCTACTATACATGATTATTTATATTTTGGCCAACTTATACATAATATCTACGTGTGTAGAGTTATGTGCACCTTTCGATCCGTTACTCATTTCATGCTTTAACATTACAATCACTACTTTCACACATACACATATAGACGCACTGAGAGACACACACATACACACATACATACATACACATACACATACATACACAGACACACATAGACCCATACATACGTACAAACACACACATACACATACATATATACACATAGACATACCTACACACATACACGTACTGGGGTCCAATCATCCTCGGGATGGAATACCCACAAGTACTAATCAAGCATGTGCACATATAACAAGTAATCATATAAAAGTCATCCTACCACAACTGTGACATCCCCATTTTCACGGCCAGAAAAGACCGATTTTGTTTATGCTTTATAAAAATCAGAGTATCTCTTTTAATAAAAGTGTTGCGGAATTTGTTCCTAGTAAAACATGATAAATACATTATCAAAGCATTTCCGAAGAAATGTATTTTTTTATTCATTTTAAAACATTTGGGATGTCATCGTCACTACAGAAACATAAGCATAAACAGAACATACATTCATTTACACTAGTGATCTACATCTTTTTTAAATCTCTCGGTGTAAAGTAGCTTCATATTGACACCTGTGATACAAATAAACTGAGTGGGTCAGGTTGAGAAACTTGGTGAGTACATAGGGTTTTCAACCCACAATAATATAATTATTATGTTTAAACATCAAACAATC